GCTTCTCGGAAATGGCCTCTTTCAAGATCGCAAACTGAGCTCATCCTCCAGAATTAATGAGGTCATGACGATGGGGTTGAAGGGGCTTCTAGGGGGGAGGGCTGGGGTGAGTATGCATGGCTTCGGTGAGAAAGAAATAATTTTTTGTGGGTTAGTTGTAAGTGTCTTTTCAGTTGACGTTGTTCGTGATATTCTTTTGATCAGCATTTCCTGATTTGACAATTATATAGCCTGTAAAATGTATTGTTGTCGGCGTTTGTTAAACATCGCTATCTTAGAATTCTGACGTCAAACGCGAAGCAGAGTTGCTATTTTTCATGCTCACGTTTTTTTTTTTCTGAATGTTCTTTTCTTGTCCTGTTTAACAAACAATAACAATCCGTTGTCAAGCAACGACGTAGCTGGAATATTGATGTGGTCGCTGTGGTTACAGTCGTGCGATCAACGCCCAATATCTAACCAGTCATGTTTAAAAATGCTATCTTACAATATTGTAAGTCATTCTTCTGATGAAAACAACGTTAAAAAACCTATCAAATCTCAAAATAATAGTTGAAGGGGAAAAAAAGCATCAAAGAGGTAATAATAATAAATTAACAACGACGATCGAGGAAGATTCAGGCGAAAGACGAAAGACAAACAAAATTGGCGATTTTGTTTTTGGATTTCAATATGCACCCGCGTTTGTGACGCGTGGCTTTTTAAAATACTCAACAAAATCGAATTTTAATCGTCCATTACTTAAATCAAATATAGCCTCGTTAAGATAAGTGAAGTACAAGTACTTTTTAATAATAACTTTAATTTTGTATTGGCGTCGATTAAGCGGAGAGCATGTCGCCTTAAGGGAGACTGAGAGACTACAAGACCGGTGCCCTCCATTGATTTTTTTCTTGTGTATTTCGGCGCGTTCGGTGCGTTGACGGCGCAGTGAAAACTACTTCAAGAATTCACACACACTTGTCCTACAAGTATCAGCTTATTTTGTGTGGTGAAATGGTTTCGTCGGGAGAGGCGATATTTCTTCAGAGTTAATTCTGAGCACAATGACGCGGCGATTTTAAGCAACATTATGGACCAATTGCAGCAACTGCGGCGGGCGATTGTTTATGCAAGGAAATTAAAGTCGGCTTCACATCGCACAATCAAGACAGTAAACTCGGCAGAAATCATCTCTGTAAAGAAGGGGACTCCT